GATCACCGATCATGCACTTTTTCACAAAAATCAGCCCGATTATGATCGGTGACCGATCGATCGGCACACCCCTAGTTTCAAATGATCGTTCTGATGGGCTGTTGTACAGGGCTGTGTAGGCCAAGGTCCTATTTGCTGACTCAGGTCTATGGAAATCCATATGTGTGTATGTTTTTAGCTGTGATCATTTCATCCTGTACCAATGTGTTTCAGTTCTTTTACAAAGAAAAGTCTGCTGTTTGGTGCCATTAGTTGATTCTCTTCAGTTTTAATACACTTCAGCATGTTTGTTCAGAGTTAAACTTGCAGACAATCTTTGGTGTTTTTCACAGTTTTGAGTCTGATTCAGAGATTACAGTAAATATACGACTGTATATTTACTGAAGTTACTGAACAGATCTTTTATTTAAGTTAATTTAAAAAAATATAATTGTAGTCATTTTCTTACCATTCATTTGAATCCTTTTACTGGAATAGGAAAGAAAATCTATTGGCACATCAGCCTCACCAAGAATTTTTTTTACCAGTCGCTTCTGGAAGCAAACTACGGAAACACTTAGAGTCCAGTAAAGAAGACTGATTAAGAAGCAAATGAAGCAGTTAAACACACCCAAACTGAGCTGAGTGCTGCTTGATGTACTGGTATGAAACCATGCAGTGAATGGAGGAGAAACAGTGAAGTGTTCAAATAACCTGTCTGAAATCCTCTTTGTTTCAAAGTGAGAAGAACAAAGTGCACCCAGTATTGTACAGATGAAAGGCTCTGCTGCTACTGTAGCACCAAGTTAATTTTATCCAACAAAAGGAAGTGGGAGGCAGCTTGAAGAACCATGACAGACTATGTAAGTGAGAGTGTGTACCAGAAAACACCGTAGTAAGGGTCATCCATATATTAAAAAACCATAATGGCACCAAAGTTTAGCAAATCTAATCAATGGACAGTTTAATCTAACTGGAATCTAACACTTATCTTTATATTATAAATTCCTGGTGGGAGCAAAGTGGAAATCTGTTCTTACAGGTTTACAACTTGTGCTGTCGGCTTCTACCATAGAGATTAGCATTCCTCGGTCTTGTTCTTAAATAAGTTTCCTTGGAAATCCAGCTGCTTGTTTACAGAATGAAAACAGAGTGCATGATTATATTAATACACACACAGCCCTGCAAGATGACTAATACAGACTTTTTATAATCACAGGATGGGACCAAGATGTAAAACTTAAAATTATCCAAAATACCTAATTTCAGCAGAAACAGGAATATTGTGTTAAGCATTAGAGTCTGTTCTGTAGCCCTGTCTGTCTCCAAGTATTTACTCAAAACCTGTATATTCTCTGGAACATTTGCCTAACAAACATCCAACTTCCTACCTTTCCTGTGGTGTTTTTTTTTCTTTCCCCTCTAAGGTTTCAGACACCATTAAGTATGGGATTATGGAAGTTAGCAGCCTTGCAATAAAAATATCTGCATCTTGTACTCAGATTTGTGTTAAACTCTTAATGATTAAACTAGACATATTAGAGCACTCTGCCAGTCACTGCCAGTTACAAATCAGTGATGTCTGATTTGTAACATGAATAAGGAAATATGATTTTAAAGTGAAACAGTAACAGCTGTAATGAAGCCCAGAAGAAGGCCGACCTTCTTCTGGGCAGAGACAGGATGTTCCCAGGATGTGTTGCGCTCTTTCAAACACAGAAGCTTTGATGGTTCACCTTCTTGATTATAGGCAAAAGTGCTATTTTTAACAATGGAGAGTACTTTCCAAAGGTTTTGACATTAGGTGATTTATTTTCTTCCTCTCAAGCTAACAAGAAAGAGGGTTTTTACGCCAAGCAGCTCCTTTTAGTAGCATGAAATATTTGCAGCCTAAGTAACTTTCTGAAAACCATATAAGAGTTGCAACGAGCATGTAGAGAAGTTTCTCCAGATCTGAGAAGATGTCTTATCAAAGTTACACTGCCAACATTAGCAATAAATGGCGTCCATTCTTCAAACTTACAGGTAACTGATGTGAACACATCCCCTGCTCCTACAGGAGCTGTAGATAGAGCAAGAGCTTCATCCCAACATCTCCATTTATCTCCAGTTGGGGTTATAATATCCATTTTTATTAATTTGTTAAAGAAAATTACTTAAAAAAAACCAAAAAAAAACTTCAGTGTATTTCATGTCATTATTAATTACCCTAGAAGTAGAAGTCCAGATGTTTTTATGTAAACAATATGGGAAAAAAAGCAGTTTTTAACAGTGATGGGTGTTAAACTCAAAGACCTTAAAAGTGTGTTTGTAAGCACTGAGAGAAGAACTGCTGGGGGGAAAAAAGTACTTCATACTTTCAGTTAAATTCACTGCATCTCAACTGCTTTTATAAAGTCAGTCAGAAAACCTGGAGTAAAGGGCAGGAAAAGTTGTCAGGCCTTACGCTCTGCGGTCATGATCAATCCTGTTGATCTTCCCTCCAATGAAAACGCGGATCTTGCAGTCCTTCCACCTCTTCTTATTGGTTAGCAAGTATGGGATCAACAGGGTCAGACCTGATCCAAGGAAAGTAAATCGATCAGCTTATATAATCCTGAAAACAACAAAACCTAATATGTATAAAATGTGTGCATTTTTCTCAAAAAACGCACCACAAACCCATAAAAAAATGTATTGCTTACTTTTAAAGTTTACATACTATTTTTCTGATTTATCATTTTCAATACACCTTACCTGTAAATCTACACTGTATAATTAATATAATAAATATGCAATAACATTTATTCACACTTCTTAGTCTTCTAATGAGCCATCATTGATCCAGGTGAGTTAACCAGGGAGAAAACTAAAACATGCAGGATGCCGGCCCTCGATGACCGACTTTGGGCACAATTGCTTTAATGGGACAAGGTTCTTTTGGTTTGTGGCTGTAGTTCACTGATCTGGCTGACTTCCTTTACCGGACAAGAAGTCCTGTCCTGTCCTGTCTCACCTCCATCATCAAACAGCCACCAGACATCCACTGTGCCCTTCCCCTGTTTCTGCTGGAACTGCTGACTGGCCTCCAGCAACCTCTGGTCAGACACATTTAAAGGAACGGTTGGACTCTTCTTGTCTGTAAGGCAGACAGACACACACAGCACATTCAATCAGGAACAGCAAAGTGACAATTAAGGGTCAGAAAAACTCAGATGTTTAAAACTTTTCATGTCCATCTGTTTATTTTGAGAACATTAGCCTTAATGGGAAGCTATAATGAATCAAAATGAAGTCACATTGAAGCAGAGGAGAAACACTGTTAACACTGAGGAGCCAACAGACAGCAGAGATGTTTCTGAAGCAGAATTAGGATCCTGGAAAAGAACCGTCACCTCTAAGGAAGGAAGAAGCTTCAGATGCTTTGGAGGAACTGAAATCTCACCAAGAGACGATAACTACTGAGGATCTGAAGTGAGATAAAAGCCATGTGATGCAGCAGGACATCAGAGACTGAGTGGAAACCAGTAGAAGTTTGAGACTGATCAGGAGAAATGACTGTTCCCCAAGCCAAGTAGCTAGCAGGCGGAAGCACAGAACAAGCAGAGATACTAAAGATGGAGACAGCAGAGTGCAGGGCAGAATGTTAATAGAAAATATTTCTAAATCTACTGTGAATGATGAGGTGATAGGATGAGAGAGGATGAAGCAGAAAAATGGGAGAAGAATGCCAGCACACAGTAGAAAATCTCAGGGAGAAGAAGTTGAAGGCAACAAAATGAAAGGGGTCTCCTGCCTTTTTTCAACAGAGGTTGAGTGGTAGTTTTGCCATCTTCATCATCATCTGGGAAGTGTGAAACAAAAGAACAAAAAAGAGAACATACTTAATGTGAAATGCTGACTTGATGAACCCTCCAAGTACCAATGATGTTTCGCTGTGCTCAGGAAGATGTTAGTTAATTAAAAAAAAAGAAAAAAGAAAAACATCCACAAGTCAATTGTTTGCCAGTAAGTTACAATGCAGTAACCATGAAGTGAACAGAAAACCTAGGAAACAGAACAAAGCTCAACTGTTCTCGCTGGCTTCTGGAAAATTTCTCGAGTCTGTCATGAAAAATAAAAGCTGAAGCAGGAACTCTGAGCCAGCACTGCCTCATTAAATCAAACTCGAGTCCACTGCCTTTTGTAAGCAACAGCTACGGACATGCGAGTGTTTTAAATAGACATGAATCAGTTCTAATTCTCCACACTTCTACTTCATCAAGACTGCGCTTGGATTAAGGTGAACAGTGTGTTTGCATGAGGGGCAAGGCTACAGTTCTAAGAGCCAATAAATGGCTTTAATCTTCATTTTGCTCTTTTTTGTATGATCTCTGAGATAGCTCCTCCATAGTACAGGTGCTGGTCAAAAAAAAATTTATATAATAAAAAAGTTGATTTAAATCAGTAATTCCATTCAAAAAGTGAAACTTGTATATTATATTCATTTGTTACACACAGACTGATATATTTCAAATGTTTTTTTTCTTTTAATGTTGATTAAGTCAATTAATGAAAACCCCAAATTCAGTTTCTCAGAAAATTAAAATATTACTTAAGACCAATACAAAAAAAAGGATTTTTTAGAAATGTTGGCCAACTATGAATATGAAAAGTATGAGCATGCATAGCACTTAGTACTTAGTTGGGGCTCCTTTTGCCCAGATAATTACAGCAATTGCATGGAGTCGACCAGTCTGTGGCACTGCTCAGGTGTTAAGAGAGCACAGGTTGCTCTGATAGTGACCTTCAGCTCTTCTGAATTGTTGGGTCTAGTGTATCACATCTTTCTCTTCACATAATGTAGAGGTTCCCAAACTCTAGGGCGCACCCCCTAGGGAGGGTGCCGTGCCATTGCAGGTGGGGTGCAGGAAGTGGTATGGATAAATAAAAAAAAAAAAAAACACAACAATGATGAAATTTGTGTGTGCTTGTGGGGGGAGGGAGGGGGGTTTGAGTGGATGGAAGAGTATAACAGGGACTCTCTACGGATCTCTCTGCACCCCCCCGCCCCCCCGGTCACACACATCGTTCAACCAGAGTCCAACTCTCCCTATTGTAATCCATGGGGAGGGGGATGGGGACCAGAAAATGTTTGGAAACCACTGGGGGGGCCCAGGAGAAAAGGTTTGGGAACCACTGACATAATGCCATAGATTTTCTATGGTGTTAAGGTCAGGTGAGTTTGCTGGCCAATTAAGAGCAGGGATACCATGGTCCTGTTCTTAATTGGACCATTAAGAACAGGACCAGTGCTCTAGCACTGTGTGCAGGTGCCAAGTCATGTTTGAAAATTAAATCTGTACCTCCATAAAGCTAGTCAGCAGCAGGAAGTGCCCTAAAACTTCCTGATAGATGACTGCATTGACCTTGGTCCTCAAAAAACGCAGTGGACCAACACCAGCAGATGGCATGGCAACCAAAACCATCACTGACTGTGGAAACGTTGACTGGAACACAAGCAACATGGATTCTGTGTCTCTCCTCTCTTCCTCCAGACTCTGGGACCTTGATTTCCAAAGGAAATGCAAAATTTACTTTCATCAGAGAACATAACTTTGGACCACTCAGCAGTAGTCCAGAGTTCTATTTGTCTTTAGCCAAGCTGAGACGCTTCTGATGCCGACTCTTGTTTTAGAGTGGCTTGACACAAGGAATGCGACAGCTGAAATCCATATCTTGCCTGTGTGTGGTGGTTCTTGAAGCACCGACTCCAGCTGCAATCCACTATTTATGAATCTTCCCCAAATTTTTAAATGGGTTTTGTTTCACAATCTTCTCCAGGATGTGGTCACTTGCTTGTCCACTTTTTTCTACCACATCTTTCTTCCCCTTCACCTCTCTATGAATGTACTTGAACACACAGCTCTGTGCACAGCCAGCCTCTTTAGCAATGATGTTTCTGTCTTGACCTCTTGTCATAGGTGTCAAAGGTCATCTTTTGGACAACTGTCAGGTCAGTAGTCATCCTCATGATTGTGTAGCCTACAGAACTAAACTGAGAGACGATTTAAAAGCATTTGCAGGTGTTTTGAACTAATTAGCTGATTAGTGTGAAGCACCAGGGATACTTCAAGAATGAACCTTTTCATAATATTCTAATTTTCCGAGATACTGACTTTAGAGTTTTCATTAGTTGTCAATAATAATCATCAATACAAAAATAAATAAATGTGAAATATATCAGTCTGTAGGTAATGAATTATTATAATATACAAATGTTACTTTTTGAATGGAATTACTGATTTAAATAAACTTTTTCATGCCATTCAAATTTTTTGACCTCCACCTATATGTGTGGCTCTTTCTGTTTTGGTACCAATTAATTTATGTGACCTCGTTATTAGGTGTTTGTTCCTGTTGCCAGTTCAGTTCCTACTCTGTCTGCCTTAGGCTCCATGCAGCATACTTGCATGGAGCTGGACTGCAGCTTTGCCTCTGTCAGACTGACCCAGAGCAACTGTGGTTCCTATCCAGGAATTAGCCACTATCAGTGTGTGAATGACTAAATGATTGTGATGTGAAGCACTTTGGAGTCCTCTGGGCTTGATAAAGCATTCTACAAGAACAAGCCATTTACATTCTGAAAGGAGAATATCCAACATAGGCAATAAGAAAAGAAAAATATAGCTTTACCTTTTCAACTTCAGAAGCAACATACAGTCATATACTCTGATTTAGAATAGAATAGAATATACTTTATTGATCCCCAAGGGTAAATTGCTTATTTGTTGAAAGCTACTCCATCTTAGGTAATAAGATTTAATTTGTTTGGGTTTTCACAACAACCCATCAGAATATATTCAAGACAAACTGGCTCAACTAACGCTGGATGGTTTTACTCCTTTAACGACCCTACTCAAAAATATTTCAAATGGTTTTCATCTGGACAGCTAACCTGGCCAGTGCCTTCTTACACAATTCCATTTATTTCACAGTCTGGGCTTTCTCCCACCGACTTCGATTCCTCCGGTAGAATTTCGACTGGATCAATCAGAAGGAGGGGTTGTGAACAATGACACTGATTTTCTGTGCTGTTTTAGAATTGTAGTCTGCCTGTAGCTTTGCAATGGTAATGGAGGAAGTGAACAAAGCCATTCAGGCCATGTTGGCCATGCTTACAAATACTGAATTAATATCATCAGCTGCCTCTTTCAGCTCTTCAGGCAATTTCCAGTAAACTTCATTACATTACATAAGCCACGGGCAGATGTTAGAAATTGGGCAAAGTTTAAAGCCTCAGAGTCTACTTCTAGAGCAGAGGTTCCCAAACTGTGGAGCGTGTCCTCTAGGGAGATGCC